TCACCAGATCAGGAGATCGAGACCATCCTGGCTAACACCGTGAAACCCCGTCTCTACTAAAAATACAAAAAAATTAGCCGGGCATGGTGGCGGGCACCTGTAGTCCCAGCTACTCAGGAGGCTGAGGCAGGAGAATGGCGTGAACCCGAGAGGTGGAGCTTGCAGTGAGCTGAGATGGTGCCACTATACTCCAGTCTGGGTGACAGAGCGAGACTCCGTCTCAAAAAAATAGAAAAAGAAAAAGAAAGGGGGTATATATTTTTAAAGCTCCTATTACATATGGCCAAATTACAGTTTTAACTGTTTTGATTCTTACTAGCATTATATGAGCTTGTCTGTGTTGATGGGTCTTTAAGAAAATAATTAATATAAAAATTTTCCAGATGGTAATTAATTTATTTATCATTTTTAACATTGTAGAATCCTGGCGGGACCTTTTGCTACTATGAATTTAGGAGATCTTGGAGCAGAAGTTATAAAAGTGGAGAGACCAGGTAAAGCTATTACTCTCTTTAAAATATAGAAACAAGCTAATAAATATATTTAAATAATTCTCTAAATACCCATGTTTAGTGTACCTGTAAGTGGGATAAGGAGAGAATTAAAATGAAATGATTGTCTTTTTCTTCTCCATTTCTTGTTTTCCTGTGAACTAACACTAATGGTATCTTTTTACTCCTTATCTGTGCTCAGTGCTCAGGCTCAAGCCAGTTTCTTCTTTGCACCTGAAGGCTTTTGTTAGAAGCTGAGGCTGGCCACAGTGGTTGACGCCTGTAATCCCAGCACTTTGGGAAGCCGAGGAGGGCAGATCACTTGAGGTCAGGACTTCAAGACCAGCCTGGCCAACATGGTGAAACTTCGTTTCTACTAAAAATACAAAAAAAAAAGTAGCCAGGCATGGACCTGTAATCCCAGCTACTTGGGAGGCTGAGGCAGGAGAATCACTTGAACCCGGGAGGTGGAGGTTGCTGTGAGCCTAGGTCATGCCACTGCACTCCAGCCTGGGCAACAGAGCAAGACTCTGCTTCAAAAAAAAACAAAGAAGCTGAGATGCAGTGTATAACAATGATGATAAGGACACCTACAGTGCCGGGCAAGGTTCTCAATACTTTGCCTGTGCTTATTTAATCTTTACCCCTATGGGCTGATGTTATTATTCATAGTTTATAAAGGAGAAAATGGAGACATAGAGATGTTAAGCAACTTATTTAGGGGCACACAGCTAATAAGGAATATCCAGACCTTCAGCCATGATTCTGGCCTTCCTTAGCCCCAGCCTAACTTTAGCGTTGAGACTGAGATTACAGGGGGCCTGGCCACCCTCCCTCACTGTGGAATAAAGGGAAGGCCAGGAGAAAGGAAGATAAAAGTGGAGAAATAGGGTAAAGAAGAAGGAGAGAAGGAAAAGGAATCAAAGTCCCTCAAAAAACAACCCAAGGCTGGGCATGGTGACTCACGCCTGCAATCCCAGTACTTTGGGAGGCTGAGGCAGGTGGATCACCTGAGGTTGGCAGTTCGAGACCAGCCTGGCCAACATGGTGAAATCCCGTCTCCACTAAAAATACAAAAATGAGCCAGGCATGGTGGCAGACACCTGTGGTTCCAGCTACTTGGGAGGCTGAGGCGAAAGAATCTCTTGAACTTGGGAGGTGGAGGTTTCAGTGAGCCAAGATCGTGCCACTGCATTCCAGCCTGGGTGACAGAGTGAGACCCTGTCTCAAAAACAAACAGACAAACAAACAAACAGAAAACCTCAAATACTCCAACCTAAGTCATTCTTTTCTATTTCCTTTTTCTTTTTATTTTTTAGAGACGGCATTTCCCTGTGTCATCCAGGCTGGAGTGCAGTGGTGTGATCATAGCTCACTATAGCCTCTAACTACTGGGCTTGAGCAATTCTCCTGCCTCAGCCTCCTGAATGGGTGGGACTACAGGCATGTGCCACCATGCCCAGCTATAATAATACAATTTTTTTTGTGTCTGTATGTAGAGACAGAGTCTTGCTATATTGCTTGTTCTGGTCTTGAACTCCTGTCTCAGCCTTTCAGAATGTTGGGATTACAGGTGTGACCTACTACTCCTGGCCATTTTTTTCTATTCCCAATAAAAGAAACATTTCCCCATTTTATAATTTTAAAGGTTTTGAAGGAGGAAACACCTAAGCGTAGATCAGTTTTTTGCTTTTATGTTTTCATCTGACATCTTTCCTGTTCTTTCTTCCTCCTTTGTTCACCAAATAAATATATTCTGTGTACACATTTCTCACTTTTATTTGGTATCATCTTAGCAGTTTGGTGTTTAGTTCAAGCTGTTATTGATAAAGTTTCTTAGAAAAGCATCATTATTGGCCGGGCATAGTGGTTCACACCTGTAATCACATTTTGGGAGACTGAGGTGGGCGGATCACCTGAGGTCAGGCGTTCAAGACCAACCTGGCCAATGTGGTGAAACCCCCTTCTCTACTAAAAGAACAAAAATTAGTGGTGCATGATGGCGGATGCCTGTAATCTCTACTTGGGAGACTGAGGCACGAGAATTGCTTGAACCTGGGAGATGGAGGTTGTAGTGAGCTGAGACCATGCCATTGCACCCCGGCCTGGGCAACAAAAGCCACACTCCATCTCAAAAAGGAACGTGTCATTGTTTTGTGCCCTTTCTCTCCAATAAGCACTTAAAGGGCACAGTCCATGTTTTTTAATGTCTGCTATATCATCATATAAACAGCTTGTTTTATTTTATTTTATTTTTGAGACAGATCTCACTCTGTCATCCAGGCTTGAGTGCCATCGTGTAATCATGGCTTACTGTGGCCTCCACCTCCTGGGCTCAAGCAATCCTCCTACCTTAGCTGGAACCATAGTTGTGCGCGACCGTGCCTGGCTACTTTTTTTTTTTTTTTTT